TTACAGATTTAACAGAAGAAAGGCAACGCTATTGATTTGTACATTACAATATCAATAAACCAAGCGCAGTCGTCATACTGATCAGCTGGCGGCATATACGGAGTGTCGACACCAATCACTCTCATTCACTGGTACGACTGAATCATGCTGATTATTTTGGATTGCTATGCACTCATTTGCTGATCACGTGTATCTAAAATGTTTAAACATGATTCAATGAATCTGTATTCCCTTAGTGTTTTGTTGAATATTTACATGATAATAGATTTTAAAAGTATATAGGACCCTGCGTAACATTACATTACTAGCTATTTCGCATTTTATATCACGTCTTTAGTAAACTGTTAGATTCGCAATGAAGTATTGTAGATATATGTGTATTTTGCCGCTGGTGAATTATGAATTGTCATTAAAATTGGTTTAACATAAATTATATTCATCAGTGTGTCACGTCTGCCGTACACGAATGTCATTAGATGAGAGATAGTTTCAATTTATGCAAGCCCGTCTAAAAAAACATGATACACCATGGTTTTCTTTGTTTAGAATAAGGCCCCAAATTTGAATAACATACAGTAAGAAAAATGACTGCCGTCGACAGTGCCTCGCTCGTGAACCTGAAATCCTCAAATCTGGCTCAGCAGTATTTTTTTAAAATTATGTCGATTGAGATGATTTTACATATATCAACGCTGCCGCTAACAAATAACTACACAAATAAACCTCTCCCGCCAAAATAGAGGTGCGAATTTGTGCCATCGCTCGACGTATCTGTAATCGCTGTATGCTATGCTGTGGCTTGTGAAAGTGGTACAATTCTCGTGATATACTCGCTTCTGCTGGTGATTATTCTTTAAATTAAGCGTGTATGCAAAGTTATTCCAAAACGTTTTTCTATATAAAATACGCTTATAGTGTATCTACGCATACGAGCCAAGTAATGGCATCGGTGTGCTTGCCATTAATGGGTTCCTGCAGGCGAAACATCATTAGTGCTTTTACAGCTTTCAAAGAAGGAAAATGTGACAAGGTTGCATATTTTCTTAGGGCCTTCCTGTGCAGATGGAATCTTAATTATACGGTGCACATGGGGAAATCTATCAAATTAAAAATGGAGATTGATTCAATTGGAGCAATGTAAATATGCTTCCAAATGTACACACAGTTTAGAAGAACATCAACAATATATACCAGGAACAGAACATGAAACAGCATATGCAGAATGGACTATGCCGAGTTATCATAACTCACAATTTATAAAAGATATTATGTATTTATGAAAATGACTATTTAATTAACTACACGTTTAGTGCTTAGTTGCATACATATTTTTATATGTAGCATTTGATGAATTTTGAAGTATTAAGTGATTTACTAGTAAACATCACCACATCAATCACGGGTAAGGTAGTTTAGCAACGATCGGAAACACTGGGAAACACAACTAAAACGTCGTGCCTTGTATTATATTGAATGGGATACTCTTACATTCTTTCAATACTCTGCATAGACCAAATGAGTCAGACATGTGCTTTTAACATCAATTTGAATAATATACTGTGCCATTCTCAATTGATGCAACCACATGGCTCTCAGTTAATAGCTAAAGAGATAATACCCTGGATTGTAATATAAGTAGTATTGTTAACGTATATTACTCACTTTTTTTATATCGAATGTTCCTGGGTTGAGTAGTCAAATTTCTGAACTATAGAACTTCGATAGCTTTTATTGATCATTTTGCCTCGGCTAGTTTGGGGAACTAATATTCAAAGTAAACTATACACCATGCAAACCACTATAATTCACAAATACTGTTAACTTATTTCGTAGCCGGGGTAACGGGTGAAGTCGGTTATGTTGGATTTTCAGCAGCAGTGTAACATCCTGGCATGACTAGGAAGGTCCAGACACATAACTGCATAAATGAATAATACATATTCACTGTGTTTTAGGAACAAAATGCACGGAGTGACAGTAGTATGTGCAAACGCCATACATTATTAATCGGATCGACAGATGGTTGGAAAAAAAACGAAACGGATTCCCCCGGGCAAACATCGTGGAAAAAATAATATTGTATGTGAAACAGTTCTTCATAATATTGTAATTCCCTAAAGATAAATACAGAGGCAAACACGATATTGTTAATTCAGATTTATAGTCACGGAGATTAAACGTTGGTTTATTAGGGACTGAGGAATTCAATCAAGTCATTGCGCCAAAAACTAAACCTTCAAATTAAATATTGATTATAATTATTAATCATACAAGCAAACAGGAAATGTTCTAATCATATTGGATTAAGAAAACATATAGTGATGCATACATAACATAATTAATTTCTGAAGGAACTCCCACGTCACCTTAGTCTTAACATCATTAGACATTGCTGGATAACAGCTTGGTTAAAATGAATAAAGCACTTTTAATTTGT